TTGAATTTCACATAGCCTTGCTATCCCAAAAGGTGCTCTCATCCAGGGCGGACTGCAGTTTCGACCTCGCCTAGATCTTATCATGCATGACAATGCAGCGTGTAATCTCGACATGTTAACCACTACACCACATTGCCACTAAATCTTGTCTTACGTCCTTTACTTCGTTAACACACACGTCATTTAAGTTGGGTTAGGAATGATACACGATTCTTTTAGAACAAAGCCAAGTTTCGGTGCCTTTCTAATTTTGGTTTTTCATCATACATATTGATTTATTCTTTTCCTTGGATAGCACTAAAAGATGCGTGTAGCAGATGATTTCAATCACCCTTTCTTTATATAAGTGAATGATTCACCTATATCCTTATTTATTTCTTATTTAGTACTTCTTACGTGGATTTCTGACTAGAAAATAGTATTTTTTTTCAAGACTCCTAATCCTTGGAAATGAAGCTAGTTAGACTTTTATTCTTATTCATTGCTTATGCTGTAAACTCCAGAGCTCTCCATTGTATTGACTTCTTCAAGTTGCATAGGCAAGCTGTTGAAAAGGATTATTATTTTCATCATGATGAAAACCTACTTACTAATCAAAAAAGCAATATTGCCGATTGATATAGCAAATATAAATTTGCTTCATCGACAAACCCAAAAGAGAATGTAATATGGAAAGTGCCTGACCTTATTTGAAATGCACATCTGCCCTGTAACCCAAGGGCACTAGTCGAAGTATAGCGTAGTGGTTAACGTGTCCAGATTACACACTGTATTGTCATGGCTCCACTCCCGCTGAAGGTGTTGATAAGACTTATGCAAGGTCGAAACTGCAGTCCACCCTGGATATAAACACCTTTTGGGAAAGCCCGGCTATGTAAAATGCAAAGGAAACGTCAGCTCTACTCATATAATTGTGGGAAAATTCAACCACCAGTCCTTCATCACCTTAAATCAAATACGGTGAGCAAAACTCATATATCTGATTTACTGGTAGTCTCGAAAGCCTACTCATTAAAGAATTTAGTAATAGTAAAAATAAGTTGGATAATCAAATTAACTATTCGATGCCTTATCTACTTTTGACCAAATGGTCGGGACGGTGGAACTCGTATGGAAGAATAATGAGATGTATTCACCCTATTTCGTGTAAGGTGATGAAGGACTGGTAGTAGAATTGTCCCACAATGATATAAGTTGAGCTGACGTTTCCATTGAATTTCACATAGCTTTGATTTCCCAAAAGTTGTTCTTATCCTGGGTGGACTGCAGTTTCGACCTCGCATTGGCCTTATCAACACCCTCAGCAGGATTCGAACCGCGACAGTGCAGGACGGTAGCCTGACACGCTAACCACTCGGCTACACTGCCACTGTAC